GACTGAACGTTGAGGTTTGAAAAATTATCTATAACTTAATATAATTTGTAACATACTTAATTCAAATCTGAGCTTATATACTTATAATTAGGATACTATAGGATAAATGAAGCTTGTACCTATTAATTAAAATTAATTAGGATGGAATTTGATAATAATGTAATATCTAAAAGGTCAAGGGTATTTTTATCCATTGAAAGTTTTTCCCAACCTCTCATTTTTAAGGTAGAATGATATGTGTGTGTGTGTATGGAAGCTATTTGCTGTCTATATATAAATATATATATGGGAAACTATTTGCTGGATCTTGTAAGTATCCTTTTAGTGCTTGTGAGGGGGCAATTGGATTCAGATTTAGTGGGTGATAAGAAGAAATAGTTCCGCAGCGACTGCAGGTTTGTTTAATTAATAGTTTAGATGTTTGTTTTATCTCATATAGTTTCTGGTTAATACTGGAGTATATTTTTGAAGCTTGAGGATAGGAACAAAGAAACGACTGGAGTTGGATCTAAAACTATAATACAATTAATTTTATTACTTGGTTACAGATAAGTTGATAAGAACTTGCAGGATATTGACAAGTATCAGTGTATCACTGAGAGGTAAACGGTGTGTCATTTATATTTAGCATAAATGTATAAATTTTGAATTTTTGATAAAAGTATTTGCTATGTACCCTCAAATTTTTGGTTGGAGCTTTAGGTCGCGACATGTATTCTTGCATATCAGAATAGGACTATTTATTTGGTATCATAACTGTGCTAAACAATAAACAAATACCTTAAATATTTGCATAAAGTCTGCAGGTTTTTTCTTGAAAAGTCCACCTTCTTGAGATCTTGCTCTCTCCATTCTCTGCAAGTAATGTCATGGCAATCTGAAGTCAGAACATTATCTTAAGAAATTTCTACATCATGGAATTATAAATTAGAAGTGCTAACACAATTTTATTCCTTTAATTAATCATGATTCATGCAGTGGATCAATTGCTGAATTTTCTCCAGTTCAATGGCTGCAGATTGTGGAATTGAGACAAAGAAATTTCATTTTAAATAGCAAAACCAAACAGCATGTTCAAGTTAAATTAGCATGAGATAATCCCATTGCACACAAGAAAAATGGGACAGAGTGTTGATTTAGGAGATACAGACTAGGTATTAAGATCCAACAACACATACTTTAGTCTAATTCCACAATTTGGAGGTTATGCCATGTCAGGCAGTATACAGAACGGAGTAACTCTCTATCACGTCCTCAAACTGATCAAATATCTAAAGGGTATAATAAATCAATTAATAACAAGATAGAACAAACAGGAGAACATCAGCCACTAGTTTTCCATCATTGAGGCTGATATATCTGCTTTCCAGAAAAACGAAAAGATAGGAGATGTATTTACGGAGGCCACAGATCTGGGAAGTCGTCTTATAGGTTGAGATAAACTGAAATTTTTGGGAGTGCAGACTGATGCAAATAAATCTAGCATCATGGTAACTTGGTCAAATTATAAGGCCATGACCATTTGAGAGAAAATAATAATAAAATGAATAAAGTACTGCACGAAATCTAATGATTCAAGTAGAATCTAGTTTACCTCTTCGTCTTCCTGTAAAAAGATTCTTAAATCCTCGCTTTGCTTAAGTTCAGGGTGAGAAGCTATCCGATTTATAAATATGTCCAGCGCCTGACGTCTCATCTCAATGAACTCAGCACTGAATCTGAACTTCTCTGAATTGCATGCAGATGGTATGTGGATGTCAATAATAAGGATGGATTTCAAACAATATAGGTAATATAACAATGTAGCACGAATAAAGTGCATTATTAAGAAAATAATTTCATGGCAAATGAGTAATAATAATACAGTAATTTCCACATGGATATTCCTAGAAAAATGGCAGGCAGAGATCTGCCTAACATCGATATACAACATTTGATTAACATTTTTCAGAAAGTAAACTCACAATCGAAGTTACATAATTTGACGATGAGAGGGGGGGAGAGGGAGAGGGGGGGAGGGAGGGCGAGTGGCATTTTTAAATTACCTACGGTGCTCTTCTCTGGTAGGGGAGGAATGAAGATCCCTTTGTATTTTTCAGCAAGTTTGTCGTGCAACCAAACAAAATCACTGTAACGGCGAATAACAATCTTTTCTTGCCCTTGAAATTCAGGTAAGTTTGTCTGGTGATAAGCCATTAAAAAATGAATAAATATGCACAAAATTTCTACTACTGTGTGATAATCAAAAGAGAATATGGAAGTAACTGGAGAGAACCTCAGCAAAAAATGCAGAACACGTGTTATTTGGATTCAAATCATAAGGGAGAGAAATATTGATTCCAAACAACAATAACCAAAATTGTATCCCGTGTTCTTCAGAGACTCAAAATTTTCTCAAGCAAGAAGCATGAAATTTTGCCTGCTACATTAAAAAAATAAATAAACCACAGCATTATAACTTCAACTATGATAGATTTTTAAACTCCAGAAGCACAAATACTAAGATCAGATTGCACTTGTGATAAGACAGTCCAGGTCGGGCAGCCTAGCCCAATGGGAGGCAAAGATTCGAGAGCCGAGAGGTAATCTTCTTTCTTGATCTGACTAATGTCAGTGTACAAGTTTGAATACAACAAACAGGGGCTTAGTTAGGTTGTATATGATGAGCAGGTCTCATAATTTTGTTTCCATTCTGTTTCTGTATCAAGGGAAGAGCCCTGACGCAACACACCCAGTGGCTTGCAAGGAGGTGGTGGTTTTAAGGATAGTATGTTAGATTATTAATTTCGGTGGTTTTGAACCACGGAACATCCGGCGAATGTATGTGGCCACTTCATTATATATAAGACTACGGGTTTTGATTGTGCTACCAAATACTGATCGTAAGGGAAATTTGATGATGGGTCTAAGCCAAAATCCTTAAGGGGGTTCCTAATTCACTTATTAGTAGTATAAATTGAAAATAACCCGCCTCAGCTAAAGCTTCAGCTACACTAAACCCCCATCGACTCATCCACTAGCACGTACTACACATGAAATTCCATCGTTAGAAAGATAAATTGCAAGTATGACCACTTTGCTTATGAATTGAAGGGGGAGGGAGCATCAGTGCTAAAAAATGAGTTGAGGGGGTTCAGTGCAACTGAAGGTGTAGTTGCGGCGGGGATATGTGCCAGTTACCCGTTTTTCCTAGAGATGCTCATTTTAATTCCTAAATATTAAACTGCATACTATAAACACTTCCTTGTCAAAAATATTTGTTCCGGGGCACTCTCTAATTAAATAGTTCTCCACCTACACTCATTAGCTTCCATTAGCGTGCTCCACCTGAATATCCAAAAAGAGGACATTTTTTTCATAATTTAGCTTCTTCAATAAAAAAGTTGCCAAGGTGGCTCGCAACTCAACATAAGAGATGTCTATACAAAGGTAAAGCAATAATGAAACTGAAAAGAGAACAAGATAACAACACACAATGATTTATAGTGGTTTTGTCATTATCTTCACCTACGTCAACACGCGAAGACAACAAGAGAAAATCACTAATCAAAAAGGAGACTACAACCAAAGAGATTATTCCCAAATCTCATTCACTCCCTCACTTCAAATTGCTCTTCCATACTCTTCAATACTCTAGCTCTCTTTGTATAATGAATCCAGTCTTAATAGAATTTTTTTGGGTGGTTTTCGGTTTTTTTAAGGGGGTGGGGGGGTTGTTCATTTGGATTGTTACTTCGGACTGGGACTTTGTGCTAGATTTTGATTTAAAGCGTTATTTGTTTAGGACTAGAATTTGGATTTAAATTTAAGGTGTTAATTCATTGAGGAATAGGAATTGGATTTAAATTTAAAGTGTTATCCGTTTAGGATTAGGATTCAGATTTAAATTTAAGGTATTATTAATTTAGGACTAGTATTTGGATTTAAATTTAACATGTTATTGGTTATTTTGAATTGTGATTAGGATTAGAGTTCTAGAAGCCAAATCTCAATCCAACTACATATTTCCCTATTGATTTGAGACCTCAAAAAGTCCAATAAAATTTTTGTGGGTTTCTTGTTTTTGTCTTGGGTTTGCTATAACGTCAATTCTATTATAGTAATTAAATATAATTATTTTATGTAATTTTAATTTAAATACAATAAATGTCATTATATAAATATATATCATATAAATATTTATTTTATTTGAAAGGCTCTGAAAGTAATTAAAACAATGGATCTGAAGGTATTTAATACCGGTTAATAAAAATTATTAAATTATAATAAAGAATTATGCATTGTGTTGGAACTTACAAAAAAGTAATTTCATATAATATATTTCTTTTACAACTATTTTGTTCAGATAAGCGAATATCATTTCTCTTTCTTGTGACAATATTTTTTTTGAGAAAAAGGATGGATTACTATATAGTAATCCAGCCAGCTAAATTAATGAACTGGTTGTTACATATAAAATGCACATTTCCAACCAAAAATGTGCACAAAAAGTCAACTGAAAATACAAAAGCACCAAAACCCTTTTGTACAAAGATTAAAACTCCCAAAAGAAAACTTAACTACCACAAAAGAAGTATCATATTCAACAACAATCTTACTCATCACAATATCAACTAAAGCACTGAAGATTGAGTTTAATCCAGTTGAATCACGATACTGTTCTCCTCCCCTGCAGCTCCAGCTGGCTGTAAATCTCCCAGTCTCTCATTCTTCTTCCTTCTTCGTGCTAACAATCTGGCCGCTCTATCTGTGATTGTAGAACCTAACCAAAATGTAGAAAAAGTCATAATCTTATTCAAAATCTCCAACGCTCTCTTCTTCTTGTTAGAGAAGAGTCTATCATTACGCTCCTGCCATATGCACCAAATAAGAGCACAAAAGATAACGTCTCTTTCCATCTTGCATTCCTTATTTCCCCCAGTAGTCCAATTAATCCAAACTTCTTTTAAGGATTTCATTTTGAAGTCTTTCCCAATTTTTAATTTGGACTGAATAGATCTCCAAAGTGAGAATACAAACTCACATTCAATAAACAAATGAGTATGACTCTCTTCAACTTTAGAACACAAAACACAATTCAGCTCTAACTGAATTCCTTTTTTAGTCAAAATATCTTTTGTATTTAAACTCTGTCTTAAAGCTAGCCAAACCATAAGTTTTACTTTTAAAGGAATGGAAAGCTTCCAGATGTCTGCACAATCAGAACGTAAACCTCCATCAATAAGAAATTGATAGAAAGATTTAACAGAGAAAATACCATTTGTTTCCCACAACCAGATTCTGCTATCTTCTTTTTGATCAAAAATTATATCCTTGATAAGATTCAGTAAATTCAAAAACTGAAAAACCAAACTTCCTGTCAATTGCCTCTTGAACTTAATATCCCATATCCAGTTGTTATTCCTTTTTTTCCTCGGATTGCTAACAGAAGCATAAGGAGAAGTGATAATAAAGAGGGATGGGTATAAAGAAGCAAGGGTATATGATTTATCAAGCCAAAATAAAGTATGTTTCCTTCTCCTACCTCCACACGAGTACTGCATAAGAAACTGTCAACATTGAGAAAAAGATTTTTCCAGAAATAAGATAACTGACCTCTACTTGAATGAATGAATTCTGTCCAATCTTTTCTTTCATAGTATTTATAAAAACTGATCTGTTTCCAAAGCACCTGTTTATTCTCAAACCATTTCCAAAACCATTTCCCTAATAAAGCTTTGTTCATAGTTTTCAGATTTATAATTCCCAGTCCACCAAACAACTTAGGTCTACATATCTCCTCCCACTTGATCAAATTTGTACAACTTTTATGATCTAAAGATCCAGTCCATAAGAATCTTCTTCTCATCCTATCAATTTTATCAATAACCCATGAAGGGAATAAGAAAAAGGATAACCAGAAATTAGGCATCGAAGATAGAACTGAGTTAATTAAAACCAGTCTACCCCCTCCAGACAAAGTTTTGCCTTTCCACAAAGCCAGCCTTCTCTCAATTTTTTCAATCAAAGGAGACCAATCATCTTTTGTTAATTTTCCAGACCTCAAAGGAATCCCTAAATAAGTAATGGGAAAGCTCCCACTTTTACAATTCAACATAGTAGCCAAGCTTTGTTGTAAAGAATCATTATTCTCAAGAGCTATAAGAAAACTCTTGTTAAAACTAATTTTTAAACCAGAAGCAAGTTCAAAACAGTATAAAATCAGCTTTAAAACTGTCAGCTGTTCCTTTTTATTTTTGCAAAATATCAGTGTATCATCTGCATATTATAAGCAACAAACTTTGTGAGTCATATTAGAAGGACCTAGACCTTCAATAAGTTGAGAATCAACTGCAAGATTCAACATTCTGGTAAAAGAATCAGCTGCTAGAACAAAAAGAAGGGGTGACAGAGGATCTCCTTGACGAACACCTCTTTTGGACATAATCCACCTCCTAGGCTTACCATTAACATTAATGGCAGACATACCTCCATTTAAACACAAATTGATCCATTTTATCCATTTAACACCAAACTTTTTTGCCTTCAACACCTCTATAATAAAATCCCAATCCAACATATCATACGCTTTCATGAAATCTAGTTTTAATAAAATTCCTCCTTTTTTTTATTCTGAAAACAATCAGAAATAATTTCCTGGGCTGCAGCCACTCCTTCCAGCAAAAATCTGTTTTTGATAAAACCAGATTGAACAGGATCAATAAGCCATTCCAATTGAGCATTTAATCTATTTGTCAAAACTTTGGTAATCACTTTAAAAATAACATTTAGAAGACTGATAGGTCTATAGTCATTAACTGTGACAGCCCCATTCTTTTTTGGAATAAGCACAATATGGGCATAATTGAGCCTATTAATTTCCAACTTACCCTCATAAAACTCCTCAAACAACTTCATAATGTCTATTTTCACCGTATCCCAAAAAACTTAAAAAAATAAAGCAGGAAATCCATCTGGACCAGGGGATTTATCTCCATTCATATCAAATACTGCTTTATAAACTTTCTCTTCAGTAAAAGGAGTTTCAATATCATTAGGACCCCATTCAATCACTGGGAAAAGTTTATTCCACTCCAGTTGACATCTATAAGGCTCTCTCTGTCCAAAAATCTTTTCATAATGATTTGAAAAAATTTGGGCTATTCCTTCTTCAGAGCTCACCATCACATTATCTACATCAATTGACGCAATCAAATTATTCCTTTTTCTACCATTAGCAATTTTATGAAAATAAGCAGTATTATTATCCCCTTCTTTTAACCAGTGTGCTTTGGATCTTTGTTTCCACATCTGTTCCTCTTGTTTCAAAATCTCATTCAATTGCATGGAAATATCATTTTTTTTAATCAATTCATCATCCTCCAAATCTCTATTTTCCTCTAAGACTTCTCATTCTAAAAGACTATCCAACAAGTCTTTCTTCTTTTGTTTAACACTATAAAAACTGGAATGAATCCATTGTTTGATGCATTTTCTCATGAATCTCAGCTTACCAACAATATTCTTAGCAGCAGATAATCTTTTTTGTGCACACTTCCACCATAAAGGAACTCCCTTCATAAACTCCTCAGATTCTAACCAAATATTTTCAAATCTGAATCTTTTAACAAAATTTTGATTATCTCCACGATCAAAACTAATTGGAGCATGATCAGATAACTGACTGCACAGACCTTGTTGTCTGGAAAAAAGAAAAGCATCTTCCCATTCAGAGTTGAAAAAAACTCTGTCCAACCTAGCCATAGAAGGCAACCTTCTTTTATTAGTCCAAGTAAACTGCCTCCCATGTAAAGGACTATCAATCAGCTCTAATTCATTAATAATCTCATTAAATTCTTCCATTTCTTTCCTATGAATAGTTTTACCTTTTCTTTCAGCAGCATTAGCAGTAACATTAAAATCACCCACCACAACCCAAGGGCCTGAAAAAATATTTTTAATATTTCTAAGCTCCTGCCAAAAAAGAGCTCTCTCACTGTTACTATTTGGATCATATACTGAAGAAATGTTCCAAACAAAACCATTTCTCTTATTTTGAAGAACCACAGTCAAAACAAATATTCCAGAATGTTCCTGCAACATCTTCCATTTATTGCTATTCCAACCAATTAAAATCCCACCAGAAGCACCAATAAAGGGTAAACAAACCCACTCAAATACATTGCCTCCCAGGCTATTTAAAATTTTATCAACACAACTCAATTTTGTTTCCTGTAAACAAATTATTTCAAATTTGTTTAACTGGCAAAAATCTTTAACACCAAATCTTTTGGTACTCAAACCAAGCTCTCTTACATTCCATGTAACCAACATATGTAATAAAAACAATCTCCTCAAACACAAATAGCCAAAGACTACTCAAAAGTAGCCCTCTCTTGCTCCATTTGCCTCACTTTTTTTAAAGGATCAAAATCCCCTTGAGGTTCAAGATTAATGGCACAATTTGCAGCAAATTTTTTTAACTGCTTATCAGAACAGACATCAAAAAGAATAGGAACAAAAGAAGAACCCAAGGAAGAAGAACTTTCACCTGAAGAAGCTCCATGAGAGCTTTTGTCAGAGTCTTTCAAAGCAGCTCTTGATGTAGCTCTGTCCAAAGCAGTCATAGGTTCATAATCTACAAACCTGGAACATCTTCTAACATAAGTAACTTTAGAGCTAAGACTAGGCTCAGCAGGAGGTAAGGAATTCAAAGGTTAAATAATTAGAAAATCTTCTTCTCTTTCTATTCCTTCCTCATTGTTGTAAAATACTGATAACCAATTTCCCCCATCAATATTTTCACTAACCATAAGAGCTTTATTGTTAGACTCTTCTACTGCAATATTTTCTTTTACCTCCTGAACTACATTGTCTTCAGAGATGATAGGAGACAAAGAGGCATTCAATTCCACCTCAAACTCAGCACTCTTAATATTATCTTCTTTCATAGCTTGATCCATCAGGAAGTCATTTTCAGAGATCTTCATTTGATCTGGAACTTGCTCAGCTTCACTGTCTTTTGAAGATTTATTTTCCCAACTACCCCACACTGGCTTTTTGTTTTGATAAAAAGATTTGGCTTCATTCCACAATCTGGCAGTTGAAGAATCCCATGGATTATTCCGTAGATCTTGTCTAACGGTCTATGAATTATTATCAGAAGAACCAGATCCACTATCCTTTCTCCCTTTAAACCATTTATCCTGGTAAGAACTCTGATTATTATCATCTATATGATCCACTTTCTGTTTTTTCTTATCAACTTCAACACTTTCACCCATAATCGACATAATAGAAACATCAACATTATACTGATTTTTCCCCACAAAAATCTTCAGAACTTTAGGAATATCAATATATTCTAAACATTTGACTAACACAACAGCATCCACAAATTCTGAAGCAGCATTTGTCAGCGAATCAAGATCAACTAAATCAGCAAAAGGTTTCACCATCAACTCAAAGGATTCTCTATTCCATAAATGAGGAGGAATCTTTCTTGTGACAATTAAATTAATAAATGAATACATCTAAATTATGAATATGAACTCAAAATTTTAATCAGATTTGGAACATGTCACCTCTAACTAAAGCTTTAACTCCTATATTTATTTCTTCTCAAATGTATTTGCACATGTCAAAGTTCTAGCCTCTGTATAAATTTTTTTTTTGTGCTATTCTTTAATCAAAATGAGAGTGTATCTTGAAATAAATTTTAATTATATTTGATAATAATAATTAATTAATATATAAATCTAAAGTTAAAATCCTAATTAAAATAGTCCACAAACTTAAATTTTAGTCCGATAATTCAACCTTCAATCCAATAATCCAAAACAAAAAGTTCAAAAGTTCAAGAATTCCACTCAAAAATCTAATATCCAATCCAAGAATCTAGGGCTCTAAACCAAAAAATCTATTCCTAATCCCAATCCAAGAATGTTGGATTTGTGGATAATTTTCCTAGACGTACAAAAAAAATCCAGAACGAACAACACCTCCTTAGACAAATGGTTAGCTAGCTAATGGGTTGGTGATATAGTAACCTAATTATCACAAGGTAAAATGTGACAAGAAGAGTAGTTCAATTTTACTTCTCTCACATTCAACTTTCAAGTCATTCAACAAAATCAACAATAAACTAAACATTTACGTAAAATCCACCTAAAGTTCTAGTTTCTTTTTTTTTTTTTGGTGCTATTCTTTAACCAAAATGAGGGTGTCTCTTGAAATAAAGTTTAATTATATTTGATAATAATTATTATTTAAAATATTAATCTAATGTTAAAATCCTAATTAAAATAGTCCCACAAACTTAAATTTAGTCTGATAATTCAACATTCAATCCAATAATCCAAAACAAAAGTTCAAGAATTCTACTCAAAAATCTAAAATCCAATCCAAGAATCGCTCTAACCCAAAAAAAACTTACTCCCAATCTCAATCCAAGAATGTTGGATTCATAGTCAATTTTCCTAGTCATACTAAAAAAATCCAGAACGAACAACACTTCCTTAGACAAATGGTTAGCTAGCTAATGGGTTGGTGAAATAGTAGCCTAATTAGGGCCTGTTTGGTTATTTCCACAAAAAAATCGGAAATGGAAAACTCATCCTTGAAATGATTTTAATACATTTCAAGCACATTTCCCAGATTTATTTTTTTGGTTTGTTTCGCAAAGAAAACTCCACATTTCAATGCCAAGTCACACAAACAGACAAAAAAAGCCTCCATAGTAACAGTGCCCAGTTTTCTATTTCTTTTGTTTGTTTGAGAATAAGAAATAGGAAATGAGAAATGGGGGTATTAAATATTATGTTTTATTATTCTGCACTATTCCAACAATGCTTTTACTAATTAATAATTCTTAGATGGGACATTTCCAAGTGTTTTCAGCCCAATTTGGTGTGAAAACACATTTATTGAAAGTTTGAGGTGGCAGCCTATGTGGCGGTTTATTTCTCGAAAATTAAAAACGAAACAAACATGAGAAATGGAAATCTCTTGAAAACAAAATCCCATGTGGCACTTGTTCATTTCTTGAAAGTTGAGGTGGCAAGAGATTTCCGGATTTTTTTGGCAAACGAACAGCTCTGAAGCACGGATTCGCCCCCGGAGGCCACGAATCCGTGTCCGACTCGAATCGGACACGGATTCGTCACGACACATGCACGACACGTGTCGGACACGGTCAATCCGTGTCTGACACGGGTCAACGGTCAAATTAGGCTCGGACACGGTCAAAGGAGCTCGGACACGGCTCAGATTCGCCGAAGGACGATTCATTCGGGTTGCGGATTGCGGGTTTGGTTGTTAAAATCCAACCCGAACCGTTCGATTAAAAAACTCATCCCTATTTCTCAAATCTCCTATTCGATTCGATCCTCAGCTGACTCAAACGAAAGAAAAAAAGAAAAAACTCTAACCCTAACCTTAATCCTCTCTCTCAATCTCTCAACTCACTCCCGTTCGATTCGATCACCTCCGCTGTTCCGACCCGATCCCGCCGACCGACTCCTCCTTCCTCCGACTCCTCAAGTCCACCCTCCATTCCTATTTTATAAAATTTTCTATATATAATAATAATTTTAAAAAAAAATCCTCGTCGTATCCCCGTATCCTATTTTTTTGGATTTTGTCGTATCCCGTATCCGTGTCCGTATCGTATCCGTGTCCCGTATCTGTATCCGTGCATCATAGACGAACAGACCCTTATCACAAGATAAAATGTGACAAGAAGAGAAGTTCAATTTTACTTCTCTCACATTCAAATTTCAAGTATTTCAACAAAATCAACGAATAAAACTAAACATTTTTGTAAAATCCACAACACAAACCCTAAACCAACAAAAATCTAAGCTCCTGATCAATTGCTACAAAATCAACACCTAAATCATCCCCAATTGCACCAAAACATGCAATTAGAACTCAGATTCCGTATCTAAAAAAATTAGTCAGTTTTCATAATGCAGCCTAAGAAATAAACAAATCTACAACATAAACCCTAAAAAACAACCTAAATTCATAGTTCCACATCAATTCATAAAAAATCAACACCTGAATCATTTAAAAACAAAACTTCCAATCAAGTAAAAAAATTTCAAAATAAACCCTAAAATTACAAAAAATTACCTTCGTGATGACGCGATAAGATATATAAGCTTGAACTCCATTGCCTAACTTCACCGGATCGGTGACCGTAACCGACAAAAACGGTTGCGACTGCGACGGCGATCTAGGGCTTTGAGAAGGAGATAGACTCGAATTAGTCCGCTGCTGAGAAAATCACAGCGATTCGGGAAAATTTACGTATTAGTCCCTAAAATCTAAATACTAAAGTAAGAGCGAGGCAGTGGTTTTTCTGTAATTACCGTGGAAATCATGGCGGTTTTTGTTGGTCACCGGCGACGAGCGGAGGAGGAAGAGGAGAGAGCGGGGCAGAAGGAAGTAAAGCAGCGCTGGAGATCTCCAGGACTTGAAATGAGAAGCTGATACGCGCACCTAACTCCCGACACCCTCAACTTCACCCTTTCGGTGGTTGTGGGTCCCGGAATGCGTGGACGGACTGACGTGGGCTCAGACGAGTGGTGTTTTGATTCCAACTGGGCAACACGAGTTTGGCTGCGATACTGAACGGCAAAACAGACGCTATCATTATATTTTGTTAAGGTAGCTCCGTCATGTCATTGTTGTATAATTAAAAAATTAGTAGAATCTTAAGTCTAATATAAATTCTTAATTTTTTAAATTTTTTTATTGATGCGGTAGGATAAAATGGAACTTATTTTTTTGCTCCGGTGGCAGAAGCACATTATCGTCGTATTAGTAACATATCAAGTAAGTTTGCGAAAATAATCTAGACTAATGACGAATATAACGTTAAGAATCCTCACTAATGACTTTCATAGATTAAAGACCTAAAGAGAAAACTAAGCGTGAGCTGACTGTAAGAGTGTTCTTGCGCTGTTGGTAAAGTCGTTTTGCATTTTTAAGGAACTAGCTAAGAACAATTAGCAGTCATGTATGAAATTTATACATATTCTACGTATAAAAGAGAATTGGGGTGCTAAGACTTTTGATTGTCCTTTTGACCACTCTCACATTTGATAAATCCAACTTTAATTATTTTGTTTATTAAATTTATCTCAAACTCTCATTCAATTAGTTTTAAATTAAATTAAATTTAATTTATTGCACATCATCATAATAATAATATTTAATATTAGTTTCTTAGGCTCTTAAAGATTCCATAACTTATCTAATCTTATACCATTTATTATAAAAGTTTGTAGGATGTTAAAACATTTTTTCGAAGTATCCCTCACCACGTACATAGATACATACATGAATACACATAAATACTCAATATGTGATAATTACCCTCTTCAAGAATTTCATATCCATACATGCGTACATGGCCATATATACATACATAACATCCTATATGTTAAAATTATTTTCAACAATGTCCGTCAATTGCATGAGTATTCATCAAAGTCCCTATGTTCACATTCTCATTCAAATAATTTATAAAATTTCAATTGTGTAGTAGTATTCATCAAAGTTCATTTATTCACATTCATCAAAGTCACTTTTTGCTCTCTTGTTGGGTCCGATCGAGTGGGAGGTGAACCGTTGCCCCCACTTTATTGTCTAGAGTAATCACTAATTAATAATTAGTTCAACAGACATTTATTTTTACTTTAGTATTACTAATTATTAAACAATAATTACTTTTCTCTAACCTCCCACCTGAAATGAACTGTTTCCTTATCTTTAACAATAATTACTTTTCTCTAACCTCCCACATGAAATGTACTGTTTCCTCATCTTTTGCCTCTACCTATTCCACTTCCCATGTGATTAATTATTAATTCCTTATTTAAACTTCCTTTCCCCCTAAATAATTAGGCAAAGGGCATATGTGTTTTTGAATCCCGAAGTTCAATAGGAGGGGGAAGGAATGAATGGGGCAAACATGGACGATGCAAGTGATGTACACTCGGTGAGGTTATAATTGTAAACACAAAATTGAAAGTAATCTTTGCTTTAACAACTAATGTATTAAAATTTACGGTGTACATTTTGTTTCAATAAAGAATTAAACTTTTTTCTCTTATGGCTATAACAGAAACAGAGAAAAAACAACAACCACAACCAGCAGAAACAAAGCCAACATAGGCCCCGCCGCTGCTACCGCAACATCCATGCACAGCCATAGGGCAACTAGATCGCTATTATACGAGACTCTCATAAAGACCCTCACGTCTGCCTCATCACCTTCGAGACTATTGAGGCTGATGCCCTCAACTATGACGAGGTTGCCCTCCGCTTTTGGGGAAACTGAGCTAAGCTCAACTTTCCCAAGAATGACCCCCTTTGATCAACGTAGCCGCCATATGTGATAATTTCTCCAGCAAAGGCACTTGAAAAAGAAGGAGAGAGTTTACTTTAAGGTTTGTAATAATTAAAGGTAATTGTATATCATCAGAGCATAATCAGGAGGAGGGGAGGTTGTGGGCAGTGATGAGACAAACTTCTCGCCTGATTTGAAGCTTTCATCAAGAACTTAGCTTTTTCAAGTGGACAACATTGAACTTGCTGCGTTATTTGATAATGCAAGAAGTGTTGGTTATTAACATTTTTGTTATGGTAAATGTTTTGGATTAAGGGGGTTAAGTTTAAGATAAATGTTTTGTTATGGTAAATGTTTTGGATTGAGGGGGTTATTAACATTTTTGTTATGGTAAATGTTTTGGATTGAGGGGGTTAAGTTTAAGACAACTTAAGGATTGGGTAACCTATTAGTAATTTCAATCATTGGAGGATTAAGTTTAAATTAACTTAAGGAATATTAGGGAACAACAATGATTTGGAGGGGGTGCTATTTCAAAATATGAAAGATTTAAGGGAGTACTATCAAAATGACCATTTTAAAATTTGTTTTCGGTGAGGTTATGTTGTGCGCAGCGAAAATTTCGGTAGTACTTCGGCAGCACAACAAGAGAGTAGATCTTAACTAAATCCATGTTTCACAAAAGAAATAAGAACCGAAAGCAAAATATCTCAACAAAGTGAGATATCATCTCTTTCTCTCATCAGTTCTAGGACTGACCTGTCGAGGGAACCTACAAGCTATTACAAGTCACGACAAGAACATAAATTTAACGTGGTTCGGCAAATTGTCTACATCCACGGGGCAAGGAGGGGGGAGATCTACTATTAGAGGGAGATAATAAAACTAGGGTTTACAATCAAACAATCTAAACCCTCACACAATCTCTTAAACCTCTCACAAAAGGACAGCAGCCAAAACCCAAAGAACAGCCGCCAAATCTCAAAGGACAACAACCAAACTTTCTTATGTGTTTGCCCTCTGCAGCAACGAAGCTCTCTTTTACCCAAAAGTCGGCTCCTAGCACTTGCACGCAGCCCCTCTTTGCACAGAAGTCTCTGCATTGCACTGCTCCTTATACAGCCGCCTATCTTGCACGCTGTCCAACCTTGCACTTTTCTTTTGCACTTACACGCACGCCGTCAAAAGAGTTCTGCCCTTTTGCACTCCTGCACACCCCCGAAACACTAGAAACTAGGATTTTATAGGCTGCAATCAATCGGGTGGGCCATCTCAAAAAGAAAAAACCACTGGACATTTCCATTTCACGCGCAAAGATCAATTCTCCAAAGCTTGTGGCCCCCACAAAGCTTTATCTCTTCACGAGAAAAGCTATTGGGTGTTGTCCACTCTTCATGTGTGTTCACAATTCTCCACCTCGGCGAAGCTTTCCCAAAACTGAGCCGACACCAACCAAATCAAATGTCCCACTTGTTGCGTCCAATACAAAGTGAAACGATTCACGACAACAGACTCAATCCACAACAAGTCGAGATCCGAACGGGAGTGCGAACACTCTCCCAAATGTCAATGTCTACTCACCAAATCGGCTGCATCATAAAGACTGTCTATGTATCATCTTGCCCAAGGAATTAAGCATTCACGTAGTTCACCCAATGTCCTCCAAAGACCTCAATCCACTAGAAGAGTTCGCAACCTTCTCCAACATCATGATCAAGTCTACGGCTGATAGCACCTCCAATGGTCCCAAACTGAAACAATCCAAACATTTCCACCTGAGATGAACCAATGGCCATATCCAAAATCCATCTATCAGCTACACTCGAATCGATTAACCTATTATCTGTATCCAAATCAACATGATTCCTAATCTGTGTCACATCAGCTGGAATCCTAAATGATACAGTATGATCTGGAGTATGTGGAATAATCTCCACCCAACGTAGAGTAGCATCACTCTCCACCCACTATGATATCCTAATGATCTAATCACCACTCTCCATCTGCCGAGATTCAAACGTGACATACCTGCTCAGAACAAAGATAGAAGCCAATACCTGATAATTAAACACGCTTCTAAATCTCAAATGTGCTATCAGATCAAATCTTACATCCACGATGTGACCAAGTGCTGGGTAGCCAAACATCCGATGCAACCTAAAATCTAAAGCAGCTCCACCAGATCCTATATCTCTACATGCAACAGTTGGTAACCTATACATAAGATGGCCCAAACATGTCGTAACCCGCATACCAATGTCAATGCCCAACATCAAAGGCCGATCCTCCTCCAGAAAGGAACAGCTCCCCAAATCTGCCATCTCATCACGTCGCCTTAAAGTTTCCACACCAATGAAGTGTCTCCTATTGCGGTGAGCTCGGCATAAACGCAAGAAAAAACCCCTACCATAATCTGAACGTCGGGTTACCTTTCTACCAATACACTTCCTCCATCAGTTACGGGCTTCTAGGACTTCACACCAACAGAACTTGGTTGTAACCCACCAATGCCTAGAGCAATCCCCAACTGTAGAAACTATATACATATTACCTCTCAATGATGCTCCCTTGGAAGCCCCCGAATGTCTGAATGAACACCCCTCAGAAGACCCCTCGAATGATGGACAGAAGTGTCAAACTCCACCTCGGTCTTCTTGCTCATACCAATGGGTTCACAAGACTTTAAACTGCAGGTCAAAGCACTCATCAACAACATATGCACGGTATTACCAATCAAATAACCCAGCATCAAACAACACCACAGTCTAGCCGAATCTAATGAAGTCGTCATCTCCCTATCAATTGCCGTGCTTCCTAGCAAGTAATACAAATTGCTCCTTCTGACGCCCTTCATCACAATCATGGACCCCAATGTGACCTTTAAACGTGCATCCACCAAGGTCACCCTATAGCCTGCTGCCTCCAAAGCTCCAAGTAAAATGATGTTCATCTTTAATTGTGGAACGAACCTCACTTCATCCAACTCCTGAATCACCTCGTCACTCATTTTAATCCGAATGGTACTAATACCACCAATAGAGCATACATGTCCATTACCCATGAGCGCAACATCCTCTCTTTTCAACTTCTGAAAGCTAGAGAACCAATCCCTCCTAGGACAAATGTGGTAAGAATCACCCGAATCCAACACCCACTTTATAG